CTTCAGAGAGAAGGAGAACAGGAGAGCCACCATCACCCCAAAGCAGTCAGATCTCTCAAGGACCTCTCCAGCCTGTTGCCCAATGGTCTGAGACCTGCTGTCCCTGCAGACAGGGACACAAACCCACTCCATGCAACTACAGCCCAGGTCCCTTCTTATATGGTGCCTTCTCAACCAGTTCTGGAGCCAGCTAGAGCCCTGCCCAGAATCACTCGGCCTGGGCTGTTACAGCCATGCTTTGGCCTTGGGGCTTCTTGTATCTCTGGACCCTGGCCCTGGTGGCAGAGTGGGCTTCTGAAGGGAGAAAGAGCCTGCAAATTCATGAGGTGAGGCAGTGTTCGTCACTGCACCTCCTCCCTCCCTCCCCCAGGCCTGCACCAGGGAATGCTACATTTCTAGGAAGAATTAAGAGCTTGGTTTGAATTGAACCCAGGCTCAGCGCTGCCTGTGCCTCTGCCTAGGGGGTGTGGGTCTGGGTATAGACATGGCTGCCTCCCAGAAGCAGTCATCTATAACAAAAACCTGGGGCCTGGCATGCTGAGGGAGGTCACTCTGCAAGCCTCCCAGCCTCCAAGATGCTGGCTGCCACGGGGAGGGGACTGCTGCTAAGGTCGCAGGCTAAGGCCAAACCCCCAGCCAGCCAGAGGAGAAATTCCAAGCTCATTCAGCCATGGGAAAGGTGGGTCCTCAGGCAGGAACCCATGTCTTGGAAAGTGACCTTCCCTAACACTCATTCTAGTCCTTCCTCCATGGTGACAAAATCCACGTTTTAGCTGGGCACATGGCTGCTCACAACAAGGACTCAATTTCCTGACTCCCTTGCTTCCCTTTTTTTTTTTTTTGAGATGAAGTTTCACTCTTGTTGCCCAGGATGGAATGCAATGGTGCCATCTTGGCTCACCGCAACCTCCGCCTCCCGGGTTCAAGTCATTCTCCAGCCTCAGCCTCCTGAGTAGCTGGGACTACAGGCATGCGCTACCACACCCAGCTAATCTGGATTTTTAGTAGAGACAGGGTTTCTCCATGTTGGTCAGGCTAGTCTTGAACTCCCAACCTCAGGTAATCCACCTGCCTCAGCCTACCAAAATGCTGGGATTATAGGCGTGAGCTACCGCACCCAGCCTGCTTCCTTTTTCTTCATTGTCCTCTCCATCCTAATGTCTAAATCTTGGATGTGAGGGCTGGAAGTGTAGCCATCACCCAGGACCAGATAGCTAGACTACAAAAGAACAAGGAGCTAGAAGGAGCCAGGGTCCCAGCCCCCCAGGAGCTAGAAGGAGCCAGGTCCCAGCCCCTGCACCCTTGCTGGATGGCCTTCCTCTGGGCTTTCACATCAGAGAGAAAGGAAGTTCTGTCTCATTTAAGCCACCATTATTTTAGGTCTGCTGTTATAGCAACTTGAATGCTAACTGGTACTAAGTGTTTAAAGCTGCCAGAGCTGAGGCAGAGAAATGACCCTGCTTCCCCTCCAGGCTCTGAATGACACGAGGATGAGCTCTGGAAATGTGGAACTGAGATGGCAGCAACCTCGCAAAGGCTGCCCAGAGATGGCGAGGCTGGGAGCTCCCAGCAGCAGGCCTCATCTCTCTCCTGGATGCAGAACTGGGGAGAGGCCCTCCCACCTCCTATCAGACCTTATCCAAGGGCTCTGCCTGTTATGCCTGGGAGACCCTCCCTTTGTGCCATGGCCCAGCTGCCCACCCCCAATGCAGAGCAGGGGCTCTGGTTGTCTCCCTCCCCCTGCCCATCAATAGAATCCTAGCAGTCCTGAAGTGCCCGCCCATCCCCCACCAGCTCTGTCTTCCCTGCAGCTGTCCAGATTCTCTGAAAACAGGGAGAGCAGCCTTAGTGCCAAGGAGGGTGACAACTGGAGGAAGTCTCGCCAAGTCCCTTCTCCCAACACAAAAGCGTGTCACTGGATTGCTGTGATTATCTGAGGGAACTTCAAGGGTAATTATGGCCATTTACAGAATGCCTGAAAGGGCTGAGTGCCTCCAGGAATAACGGGAAGTAGAGGAGGAGGGCCCGGGGTGTGCTTCCCAGGAAGGCTCTCTGCATCCGCAGCTGGTGGGGACATGCAGCAGGGACCCATCCAGCAGTGCTGGTGAATTGACAGGCGCCTGGGTGGGCAGGAAAGGGATCCAGGAAGTCCCAGCCTCTGACCGCCCTTGTGGAAGAATGCAAACCCAGGCCCAGCGTGCATGATAAGGAAAATCCAGGGTTCAACATTCATAGCCCACCCTCCAGACACTTCCTGCTGATCTAGAACCAAGCATGCATTAGGGTTTGGTCAACAGCTCTCTCTCTGGACCTGTTGGGGGACTGGGCCCTCTCCTGGAACACCCACAGCTCTCCCCTTGCGGGCAGCTCCTGAACTTTATAATCTCCCAGCGAACTAGGACACACCCTGCTTAAAATTCCTGACCTGATTCCTAACTGCCTCCAGGAGAGGCCCAATTCCAGAGCTGGGCAAGTGGGTGACGAAGGTACCTTCTGGGCCTGCCTCTCGGTGCATGACTTCATACGGGCCACCTCATCTCTGGGTTCCTGCTCCCTGAACACACCATGCATGCTCACACCCTGGGCCCAGGCTCACCCTTGATCCCCAGCCCTAGTCTTCCACTCCTAAATATTTAAGATAGATGTTAAGACTCAATTAGGATGCTGGGATTCTGCCATCGTGGTATTCCCAGGTGACCCAGCAGGCTGGTCCCATGCTAAGTGCTCTGCAGACATCTCCCAGCTATCCTGACCCCTGACCCCATGGCTGAAGCAGGTATTATTACCCACATCTTCCAGAAGACCAGCAGAACTCAACTGATCGACTTTTCAGGGACCACACGGCTAACAAGAGCCCAGACTGGGACCCACATTCAGTATGCCTCCCTCCAGAGCCTGTGCTTTTAGCTCTGAAAGGCCCCTCGGCGACACCCTCTCAAATCCCACCCAAACCTGCCACTCTTCGAATGGACATGACTGGGACATGAGATGGCTGCTGGTCCACCACCTTCTTCCACTAACTGGGCCTTCTCATGTTCTAATGTAGCCTCCTGCTCTTCACACAGGCAGTGTCTGACAAGCACACCTTTTGGAAAGAGGTTGATTCCCCTTCCAGAACCAAAACATTTGGCCAAAACTTCATCCATGGCAGACTGAGGTGAAGGTGACCCCAGGAGGGGATGTACAGCCCTTTCTTCCCATCTGGAATTTTGGATGGATCCAGGAAGACAGTGCCAAGGTGGGGGAAGTGGACAGCAGACGCCAATCACACCAGGTCCAGCTAATAAAGACTGCTGGCGCATGCTAAGAAAGCCTGCCCACATGAGGCTCCAGGATGACACCCCCACTCTCTACACCCACCAGTGTGTCAGGCATTCGGGGAAAGAGGCCCCAGGAGCCCTTTCGGACAGCCAAGTCCAGCAGCCAGCTCTTCCGCAGGGCACATTCCTCCAAGACAGACCGAGGACTCACCCACTCTCCAGGCCAGGGTCCTCAGTTATGCCCATTTCAGGCCCTTCTAGATCCAGGGCCCTCTGGCCATGGACATGAAAGTCCAGCTCAGGAGCCAGGGAGCCCGAGTCAGAGACCTGGCTGGATGCTGGCCCAGCCACCTGAATGCTGTGTGACGTGGGACGTCCGCTAACCTCTCAGAGCCTCTGGATTCATCTGTAAAACGGGAAGGCTCAGACCAGGCGCAGTGGCTCACGCCTGTAATCCCAGCACTTTGGGAGGCTGAGGGAGGTGGATCATGAGGTCAAGAGATCGAGACCATCCTGGCCAACATGGTGAAACTCGGTCTCTACTAAAAACACAAAAAGTAGTCAGGCATGGTGGCATGCGCCTGTAGTCTGAGCTACTTGGGAGGCTGAGGAAGGAGAATCGCTTGAACCCGGGAGGTGGAGGTTGCAGTGAGCCAAGATCGGGCCACTGTACTCCAGCCTGGCAACAGAGCAAGACTCCGTCTCAAAAAAAAAAAAAAAAAATGGGAAGGCTCATCATGCCCACTTCTAAGAGTACCAAAAGGAAGAATACAGAGAAGGCCTAACCCAAAGCCGGGAACACAACACATCCCCATAAATGGTGGTCTCAGACTCCCACGCAGATGGTCTGCCTCTAGAGCTATAAGCCAAATGGTACCCACTGGTACCACTGGTCACCATCACAGGAAAGTACACCCAAGGCCAAGTCACCATCCAGATCAGGGTTCAAGGCAGCCAGGTGAGGCCTCATCATGGTCTGTAGGGCAGGGAGCAGGGGCTGCCTCCTTGACCCCAGGATAAATCCTCACAAAGTTGAGGGCCCAGGCTAAGCACTTTCCTTAAAATTAAACAAGAGCTCTCAGCAAGGCACACTTGGACCAAGCAAAGTGAACTAGAAAATTACTGTTAACATGAACCTTTCCACAAAGTCTTTCTCACATAAACAACTTGAAAATGCAGCCTTGAGTTCTCTGGCTGGGCCTGCCCCCCAGGGTGGGGAGGAGTCAGGGGCGAGTCCTCGGGGACAGGAGCCTGCAGCTGGCAGGGGAGGCAGCACAGCGAAGAAGGAGGCCCCTGTCCTCGAGAACAGAGTGGACCCGTGATGTCCAGCAGCCGCATGACATCTCCACGTATTTGATTAAAGGCCTTCAGTTTCTGTTTGTGTCCTCTACCCAGTTACATAACTCCACTCGCCTGCCTGCCGCTGAGCTGTCTACACATACTCCTGCTCTCCAGCCTCTGTGCTACCAGGACACTTCAATGTCACCCACAGGTTCAAGACAGCAAAACAAAACCCTGAGAGACCCTTTCCACGAGAGCACCCTGAGGGCTGTTTCCTCACTGCTGGTCACAGAAGAATAAAAGGACCTCCCCAGAATGACTGCCTCATGGAATTCAAATGCTTCCTGACACAAAGTACTTAAAAAGACAAGACCCCTCTCTCTCTACCTCAGGCCACGGCCACTCTGTGACCACAGAGGTGGCTGCCTGGCATGGATGTGGGGCCACACGTGTCCCTACCTTCCATGTAGGCCTCAATCTTCCGGATGAGCTCGTAGGACTTGGAGCGGTCAAGCAGGGTTCTGATGGCAGGGAGCGGGTCCAGGATGATGGTCTCAGGGTGGGCATCAATGTACTCCTGAAAAGGAATCACGCTGCTCTGGTTAGAGCGGGGGTAATGCCAGGCAGCACCTCCCCCCTCACGCCCTCTGCATGTCCATTCGCTCCTGTCCTGCCCTTCAGCCCCAGCTTTGGTGGAGGGTGGTGCGTCCCGGTGCTAGGGCGCTGTGAGCAGTCACCTGGAGATCTGCGAGAGAGGCCTGACCAGGCCATACTCAGAAATAGAGCCTCACACAGAAGACATTGAGGAAACCAGAACCAGGCCCAGGGCAGGCCGCCTGACTCCAGACAAAACCTCAACCAGAAGCAGATCCGCTCCAGGCACCAGCTCCTCTCTCTGGGAGTGGCCTCCCTGTACCCCGTGCTCATAGGGACTCTGAGGCAGGGCCAGGAGAGTGGGATGATGCCAGGAGTCATCAGAGGGTCTGTGGGAAGGTGCGGCTGAGAGAAACGCGCCACAGGGTGGGCACCAGCCACCCAACACTCAAGTACTTCACTTCCATACCTGCCAGCTTCAGGGTAGGCATGGAGGAAAAGTCATGAGAAAAAACCGTGACAAAAACAAGTCTCTAAGAAACTTCCAAACTTCTTACAGGAATAACCCTAACTCACATTGCACGGAAGACACTGCTGTTCAGAACAGAACTCATAAAATAATGGGCAGAGCCCCACCACCCTGGGGGGGCCCAGACCAACCCGGCCGACACAGCAAATGAGGTCACCCTCTGTTCTCAACCCCCATGATTCTAAGGACAAAACTGGAATGCTGATGTGGTAAGAGTGGGGTCTCAGGGAGAAGGCTGGCCTGAAGAAGCCTCAACCAGCTGTTGCAGGTTGAATTGTGTCCCCCAAATATAAGCTCAAGTCCTAACCCTTCGGCACTTGTGAATGTGGCCTTATTCATAAGGACACAGGGTCTTTGTGGATGGAATGGAGTCAGGATGAGGTCATGCTGCCTGTGAGTGGGCCTGAATCCCCTGGCTGGATTTCTTAGGAGAGAAATCTGAATGCAGACACAGGGAGAAGGCCGTGTGGAGACAGATGACTGCAATGACATACCTACTAACTCATCATGCCCAATTCTAACAGTATCAAAGGGGAGAATACAAGGAGAAGGCCTAACTCAAAGCCAGGAACACAACACATCCCTGAAAAATGGTGGTCTCAGACTCCCACACCTGTCTCTGGAGCTGTGAGCCAAATGGTACCCATGGGTCCCACCAGTCACCATCACAGGAAATTATGCCTGAGGCCAAGTCAGATCAGGGTTCAAGGCAGCCAGGTGAGGCCTCAATCATGGTCTGTAGGGCAGGGAGCAGGATTTACCCCAGGATAAATCCTCATAAAGCCTGAGGGTCCAGGCCAAGCTAAGGAGGCCTGGTGCCCACCACCACCAAGAGCCGGGAGAGGTGCAGGGAAGCTTTGCCCTCAGGGCCTCCAGAGGGAGCCATGGCTGATGCCCTGACTGAAGCCATTGGCTCCCGCGGCTGGGAGAGGAGATTCCTGTAGTGTTAAGCCTCCAGGTTCCTGACACTTGGTGACAACAGCCCCAGGAAACCGATGTGCCAGCATAATTACTCTGCCCAGCCAGCCCCCTTGCCCTCTGCTCACCCACTCCATAGCCCGCCTGTGCAGTGAGGTCTGCACAGGCCAGGGAAATACACCCCAGTGCTGCCTTCCTAGTGAACCTCATTGACAGAAAGAAAGAGCCATTTGGAATCATTTTTCTTCAGTGAACTTATTTTGGTCCTAGTGACCACTTTTAACAGCACTAAACACAAAAGCCAGACTCATATTCCCACTTCTGCTCTGAAATCGGTCTCTCCTTGTGTTTCGTGGCAGAGTGTCTGGCCCTGGGCTCCTTTCTGTCTTTCCAAGTGTTTAAAGACTTCCTCTGGCCTCAGGGGTGGCTGCATAACCTAGGGGAGTCCTCATGTTCCGGTCCTCATGCCTGTGACTGTCCTCATCCCTTCACCATCCTCTCCCTGCACAAGAGTGCGAGAGCCCAGATGCTGGGCAGAAGCCGGCGTCACAGCTCCCTCCAACTGTCAGCAAGCCACTCAGCCACCGACCCACTGCCTGAAGACAGTGAGTCAGGCACTGATGCAGGAAAGCTCACATCTGTCGCCCACACAGAATGTGGGGACTAGCTGAGGAGTCTCCCTCAGGAAGGTTTTATCCAGAGTTGCCCTAGGGCCAAGTGACCATGCCCAGTGCCTCTCTTCTGACCGTCTCAGCCTCCCCCAAGGGCCTGCACCTGATCCCCCATCTCATTTGGGGGCTCTCCATGGGTAACCACCCATCTTGGCACCATTCCTTCATCAGAGCTTGTTCTTTTCAACGCAGTCCATGCTTCCATGAGAGCAGGTCATTCATGAGGCCCTCCTTGCCAAGACTCACGCATACATATGAAATCATATTCATATCCCAACAGTAACAGCTGGGTGCAGTGGCACAAGCCCGTAGTCCCAGCTACTTGGGAGTCTGAGGTGGGAGGATCACTCAGGCCCAGGAGACTGAGGCTGCAGCAATGCACAATGGTGCCACTGCACTCCAGCCTGGACAATGGAGTGAGACCCTATCTCCAAAAAAGAAAGAAAAAAAAAGAAATGTCAACATTAAAAGGCTATCTACTCAAGAGACTTCACGTCACTGATAGTGCTCAGGGCATTATGTGGGGTGCAGCAGATACTCAAATGACCAAAAGCTTTCTTCGCTTCACCCCACCGGATCTGTAGTCCTGGCCAGAAGTTCACGCCCTCAGTTAGAAGCTAAAGGCACTCAGCTGTCCTCACTCCCCTCCCCTAAACACATCAGGAAGCAGCCTGGGGTAGTGGAAAGGCTATGTGATGGGGAGTCAAGAAGCACAGGTGCCTGGTGTCATCACCTCTCAGAGTCACCTTTGGGCACGTCACTTGGCTTTTTAGGGTCTCAGTCTCCTCATCTGTGACATGAAGAGTACTGCAGATGACCTTAAGTTGACTTTACCCATGGTAAAGATGGCCTCTAGTTCTAAGGTCTAAACAGACTGCAAGAATGAAGAGTGTGTTTGTAAAAGTAAACTTGAAGGCCGCACAGAGGAGCTGTTCTAGAATGGGACAGACCACTTTCTAGAGGCATTCCAGGTAACAGGAGGGCCACCCACGCACTCGTGCCTCCCTTCCAAAAGGGGCCTATCAGTCAAGTGCATGGAAGGAATGATGCAATTCTCCCTCTGCAACTGAGGCCGCTTAGAACAGACATGCTCCTTCCTCCCCTCAAAGTCCCAAGAAGAGTATCCGCTCAGCTCTGAATAACATGAGGCTGATTCTGATTCCATGTTTATGCATTAGGACAGTGACCTTTAAAGAGAGAACTGAGATTCATTAAGACATGAAGTTAAGCCAAACTTGTGAGGGAAAGAGGCTACATGAAACCGAAGGGGAAAACATCTGACAAGCAGGCGCCAACAAGCTTTTGACTGGGGATGAAAGCTTCAGTATTAACAGAAGAATTATTCCTAAACATGATCTCTTCTGGGATGGGGACAGAGAGGGCAGAGTTTTTCCAGTCACCCTGCTATCCACAAGTGGACTTTGTGCCAAGCTTTCCAGCTTATCTGTTATACTGAGGGCCTCATGCGTTTTTTACAAGTCTCTTAGAATTACCAAACTGCTGGGCGGGTGAGCACGCTGTACGGTTTTATCACCACTCAGAGGAAGAGAGGCACAACTGTATCCATGGCAAACGGTAAGCACACATTCCCTCGCAGGGCCTGCCAGCTGAAGGACACCAAGAGCAGGATCCTGGAGCCAACAAGGGCAGCCTGGCTCTTGGAAGAGACATCCAGCCCCCGCAGGGATGACAGTTGGAACACACCTTGGGCGGAGCCTCACAGTGCCCGCCCACAGCACAAGCTCTCTCCGGCTTTTTAGATGCCCCCAGCCCATGGAATGATGCCAACAGGGACAACCGGCTCTCTGCGAAACTGCCACTGAGAACCTGAGCGGAATGAGATGAACATCAGAGAGATTCTTTCCTCCTCCGTCCTTACAGCCAGGAAATGGGCAGGGAGTGAGACACAGGGATTTGCTCTCTTCTAATGGAAAATGCTATCAGAGTCCCAAGTCTGGAGTTAACCCTCTGAGACTCGTCCTGGGTAAGGTCCATTCTGAATAAAGCCCTATCCGAAGCAGCTGCCGTGGGCATCACAGAGATTATGGATGTGAAGGGAGTTTGTAGACACAAAAATGAAAAGATTCTCATTACCTGCAAAACTTCAGCTCCTAGGGCCAAACCTGACACAAGGTCTCTGGGCTCAACCTGCCTTGCCCCATGCAGCTGATCCCAGGGGAGCTTGCTGTGCCCATGGAAAGGGGCTGCAGTTCTGGCCCATGCCCACCCTCTTGCTGATGCCTGGGGTGCAATACAACCTCCCACCCCCAACCCCGCCGGCAGCCCAGGCTCCAGGCAGTGACCTTCCAGGGGATTCATTTTTCAGAGCTGCAACTCAAAAATGATTTACAGATTAAATAAGACATCTGGGATATGTTTCAAAACAATCTGGGTCAGTGGGCAGGGACAGAAGTAGCTGAGGGACAGATGCAATGAGAGTAGCCGAAGTTGCTGACTCATAAGGCTGGGAGGTGGTACCTGGGAGCAGGTCCCAGTATTCTCTCTTCTCAAATATTTTTTATTTTCCATAACACAAAGTTTGGGGGGAAATGGGAGGCAGATAACCAGATCTTCCCCTTCTACCCTGCTCTTCTAGGTGTGCCAGAAATGGATTCCAACACCAATACTATCTTTCAAGAAGAAACAAGAGGCAGCTACCTAGATGGGAAACACAATGAGAGATTAACTATAGTAAGAAGAAGAATAAATAAAAATGATCATCACCAGTGATCATTTAAAAATAAAAGCAGTGGCCACTTACCTGCGACTTGCTGTATGCACACTGCTGGATAAAAGGGATTTCAAACACTGCTTCTTTTCATATAAAAACCCTATTGAGTAAGAACCCAAACTATAAAACTTTTA